TATAGAAGCTCAAGTGGACCATCGTCTCTCAGAGTTTCTCAAGCGCGCCCTGCTCCTGAATCATTGGAACCACTCATTCCTGTTGAAGCTAAGACAAGAGAAGACATTACATGGCCTGTGCTGCTAATCCAGGCCAATTTCTTCAGCTGTGGAGGATTGGTTATCACAATCTGCATTTCTCATAAGATCACTGATGCAACCTCTTTAGCAATGTTCATAAGAGGATGGGTTGAGTCCGCAAGAGGTTTGCGGATTACATCGATTCCAAGTTTCACCGATTAGGATTTCTTTCATCTACCTCCTGTTCACGAGCTTCCCTCAAAATCAACGGATCATAAAGTCGAGGTTGAAGAGATTAATTGTGTAACAAAGAGATTTGTGTTTGATGCTTCAAAGATGAAGACYCTCAGAGCCAAAGCTTCAAGCAACCTTGTCAAGAATCCAACCCGTGTTGAAGCCMTCACAGCTCTGTTTTGGAGATGTGCTAGTAATGCTTCAAGATCGAGTTCTCCAACACCAAGAACTTCAGTGCTGCACATACCCGTGAGCTTACGAGGAAAGGTAGATTCTTTGTCTGAGAACACAGCGGGGAATATTCTCTCCATCATGATTCTCAAGAACGAAAAAGCTAATATTGGAGGGATTRAAGATGTGGTTGATGAGTTAAGGCGTGCAAAGGAAATGTTCAGCTTGAACTGCAAGGAAATGTCGAAATCCTCGGAGAAAATTCTTGAGTTTCTGGAGGAGATTGGGAAAGCATATGGAAGGAGAAATGAGGTGGATTTTGGGATGAGTAATAGCTGGTGTAAGCTCGGCATGTTCGGATGGGAAAAGCCGGTATGGGTGACCGGAAGAGGCACTTCCAATTTCAAGAACTTGATGTTGTTGATTGATGCCAAAGATGGAGATGGAATTGAAGCTTGGGTCACTCTTACGGAAGAACACATGTCGCTGTTCGAATGTGATGAAGAGCTTCTTGAATCAGCGTCCCTCAATCCCCCTGTTTTGGTCTAGTTCAAGAACAAAACTCATTGCCCCTACTTCTTCCAAGAGATTTAATTCAAAGTTGTTATACTCCTTAAATAATAACACAAGTTTACTATATTGGTAAGATTTCTATAACTTCTCAAATAGTTTAAGAACAAAAATTCATGGACTCAGTGATCCTTAATCAAAATGTCATAGTAAACATAAATCAAATCATAGCTTTCATTAGTAATTAGGAAGATCAGCAATCATAACGATCAAATTGGGAATCACCCAACATCAATCTCTCACTAGATTCAACCAATACATATACATCTAGAAACCATTTCATTGCATAAGTAAAAAAGAAAATGAAATCCAATAGACAAATTCCAAAGAAAAACAAACTCAAACTCACTGGAGGTGACTTATTGAATAGATGTTTCTCAAGATGCAGAGACATTCACACTTGGGCTTGGAGAGACGTAGCGAAGCAACTCCTCATCGGTTTCAAAGCTCGACATATCGTTCTSGTCAAGGTTGATCCAAGCTTCTATGCCATCGCCTTCCTTAGTATCAATGAATGCCACAAYATTTTTGTAACTCATTCTTGCAGAGGRAACCCACAAAGGTTTCCCCCATCCGAAATCTGCTTCATACARTGGAAATTTGCAGAGGCTSSTGAAGCTGAAGMACACAATCTTTCCCTCGYCGWAACCTGAAGRTTGTTTGTTTAGAAACTCGAGGTGTCCTCTGCTATCTTCTTGAAGTTTCTTCACGTACACTGCGTCTATCTTTCTTATCTCTTCTCTCATCTGCTCCACWAGTGAAGGCTTGGCTTCATCATCTTCACTGATTATCATATTAGSGACAGTCACTGAGAWWCTSATGATGTTCCCAAAGATGTTGTCTGGAATAAKCGGATCMGCTTGCCTACGCAAGTTCACCGGAWGAATCAATGTYTAGATTCTTCCGMTTTTATCATCTTGGTTTGTTGAAGCCATGAAACGGCTCCAGATGAATACCGATAAGGCCTCAACACGCGTGGTGCGAATCTRKRTGTTTCTGCTGAATCTTTCRCTTAAAGACTCAACAGAGGATTTCAAGAACACGAAACGTCTGGTGACTATTTTCTCCTTGGTGATACCTGTAGCCACGTTTAAACCGTCCATATCACATGGAGGAAACATCTTGGCGAGATCGAAAGAAGGAGTAATGATTTCATGAGTGTCTCTGCGAGCAAAAGCTGCCCAGCTTCTGATGAAGATGAGACCGGACAAGGCATCACAGAGTTTATGGCGGAGGCCTACACCGAGCGCTAAGCCGCCGCATTCAAAGAAAGTGAGTTGAATCTTGAGAGGCACGTCACTCACTTCGTCAATCTCGAAAGGGAGAAACTTGTTGATTTCATTAGGATTAGGGTTTTCGAGAATCTGTGACATGTTGCAGTTGGCTTTGGCTTCAACGACAGACGCACCAACATCATTGCACACAACAACATCACCCGAGTTCTTGATCCGTCCGGCCAAAGGGTAAAAGAGATTCAATATTTCAGACAAAGAACTCTTGATGTGGTCAGCTCGTTCTCTGTTTGATAGATTGGTTCTGTTGTGGTAAAAGAAAAGGAAAGGCATGAAAATGGGAGGAGAAAGCTGATCAAGGAAAGAGAGATGATGGAATGGAAGATGATTAAGGTTTAGAGATGAGGGCTTGACGAGTTCCTCACAAGTCACCGTGATCTCAAGCTCCATTCTTGTTTTAATTAACTCATAATGGGCTCATGATTCGTCATTAGGACTATATATGCAAAAGCTAAGGAGGTAGTTCTCTTTAATAACACGTCATGGTAATTAGATACGCCATATAATTAGACCCAAGTGAGCAAGATGTAATATACATGCATGTAGAATAATATACATGCATGTAAATCAATCGTAATTAGCGGAATACCTCCGTTTATCGTAGCGGTAAAGTAATATCTTGAATGGCTTCTTAAATGGAAGGAGAAAGCTCCATCTTTAGGTAGGAGTCTTGGTTTCTCTCCCCTTGCCCATACACTTTCTCTTTAGGTGTTGTGTTTTCTTAAGTCTTGCCTTTATGATGGACTAAAGGCATATATTTATAGGTAGAGAGAAGACCTAGTTCCTCATTAGGGTTTTAATCTCAACCATCCATCAAAAGAGAGATCAAAACATGTGTGACAAGTGTGAAGTAATTGCTCTTAATACATGTCATGGATTTATCCATGTATATTGCCA